TATCGATGTTTGGCCTTGTCCTTTATGCAGAGTTCTGCAGATTCTCACAAGTTTTTGAAGATATTTTGTAATGTAGATGATGCAGTCTTTTGCAACTTCAAATTGGGGAAAATAATACACAAAATCCTCCAAAATTTATAGAGATAGTTTTCTGCATTTTGGTGAACTATTGCCTAACTTTAAGTCTGAGTGTTTCATGTTGTGCTGTTGTAAATAAAACATGCATTTATGCGATTTGCCCACATTGCATTCTGCATTCGGCCAGAACTGTCTTATTCAAGCTGTCTTGTCATTTCTGTAAATAGTCTTTTGGAATAGATCTCCAAGCTTCATCAAGGACATTCTAACGCTCTTTGAATGTTGGCTGCCTTTTGTTTCATTCACTGACAAGATCATCCTACATTGCTTCAGTAATGTTGAGATGCTTTTGCATGATGTTTCTGAATCTAAGGTTTTCCTTGCTTATAATGTTATGAGTTCCTCAAAACATCTCTCTATCTTCCTCTTTCAGTCTGATGGAGGGAGAGGATCAAGAATTTTCCTCACGTTTTTTCCCTCCATTGATTCTAGTAGTGGTAACAAGGCACAATAGTTTATATGGTTTACATTTAAGTAAACCAACCTTTTTGGATAGTTAACTATGTGTGGAGTTACACAGTGAATTATACAGCCAGTTAGAGTGAGAATTCACGAGAGGGATTTAAAAACCACATTACCTCAGTTTCGATGGATCTGCTTGTCTATGTAAAAACAACTCGACCACATTGTTTATGTATAAACAATAAGCAGCCATGCCTGATACACCTCCATGAGGGAGAGCTGATGACACACAGGGAAAAACACACACAACAAACCAGTAAGTGGGTGTTCCGAGAAGCTTCTGAAATTACGTCTTTTATCCTGTCTCCCTTCTCTCACCCCAAACAGTCACAGCAGATGGCCCCGCCCCTCCCTGAGCCTGGTTCTGCCGGAGCTTTCTTCTTGTTAAAAGGGAGTTTTTCCTTCCCACTGTTGCCAAAGTGCTTGCTCATAGGGGGTCATCCTATGGGTCTACCTTACAATATGAAGCACCTTGAGACGACTGTTGTTGTGATTTGGCGCTGTATAAATTGAATTGAATTGAATTGAAGTGAATTGAATTGAATTGAATAGCAGCTCAGGCTTTCTACATGAAAATAAATGATACTCACAGCCGACCACATGGAAAGTAGATGCTGTTTATCAGATCCCATTTATACTTCTTTGTTCTCCCCCCATGTGTCTGCACTCCAATCCAAAAAATGCAATCACTATGCCAGCCAAACCAATGGAGAAACTGCTCAGCAGAAGCTCCCTGACTCCCTGAAGGTGTGCTGAGACAAAGTCCAGAATGGTCAGGCCCCACCATATCTTAAAGACCTCATTATAATATATTATCCCAAAATAGCACACCAGGGTCAGAGTGCGGGCTTACTTTTCATTCTTTCTCCTTTGGTCGCCTCATTTTCGTCTTTCTTAAAGGGCCATTCCAGCATATTGTGTTTACTCAGGGTACTCATAAGTGTTAGATTAAACAAAAGGCTATGACATTTAAAGCAACAGACACAGAAATATCAGAAGTTTTTTCTTTCACAGGTTTTCAGCTAAATACATGGAAACAAATGAAGTGTTTTTGCCATAGACTGCCTAATAACAAAGTGCCTAAAGATACCATTTAAAATGGGCTTTTTGCAAAGTTGTCCCTTGTGTGTAGACACAGCACTGTTTTATTTCTTGAGTTTGCTGCCTTTTTATGCTTGAATGTTTCTCAGGTCAGCATTAAGTGGTTCAACAAACAGATAAACATTTGTGTGAAAGTGGTCAGACATAAGGCCTTGGACTGATGTGAGAATGAGTGAAAAAGTGAAAGGGCAAAAGGTCCAAAGAAAAACTATGAAAGACCTTCATAAAGCCTGGAGAAGTTTCTCAGAAACACTTTTAAAAAAACCAACAAGAAAGTCGTGCCCCTTGGAAGCAAACTAAAAAGAAATGCATAACACTTTAAGCTTTTTTTTTCTGGAGCCCTCAGTTCATTACAAACAAGGACAATTTGGATTAGTAGCTAAAGTGACAAGAACAGCAACTGCAAAGAACTCCACTACATAGCCCTCAAATGAATTCACACACACACACACTCTCTCTCTCTCTCTCTCTCTCTCTCTCTCTCTCTCTCTGAGTTGTTCAACTCAGAAAATATTTATAACATGAAGCTAACATTTTCCAGAGCTTTATTGTTATTGTACTAAAGATTAATTTGAGGGGTCAGGTGGGAGGCACTTGACTGATTTTTTTGCCTGCTTGATTATGGTCATATTATTTCTATCCATTTGACCCCTTTTAACTTTCTATTGTGACTTGTAGGAATAAACTGTGTTTATAACAAACAGAAGATAGCAGCTTTGTATTATGTGGTAAGAAATGTATTATGTTAATTGTGTCAAGGCTATGCTGCAAGGACTGGTTGCCTGTGATCTTTGCTTGGGTTTCTATATAGCAGTTACAGTGTCTGGATATTCTAACACTAAACACTTTGTTTTCAAGATTTTCCACAAGGTGCAATGCTCAATTGACAGAGATAGAAGTATTGTATTGTACTGAATCTTTATTTTGAACATGTTAAAATAGTATAACAACAACAAAAGAGGGAAAAAGACAAACAAAGCAAAACAAAAGGAAAACAAAGCAATAATAATTATAACTTACATGTTCAAAAAGGAGAAGGAAGAAGCATCATCTTATTTACCACATATCCACTATTTATTAACTAACAGTCTGCACTTTTTATTTTCTGTCCATCAGAAGTCTCTAGCTATAGATGAAATCACATTAATTGTTCTATTTATTTCCTCTAATGTGAAGCAGCCTGCCTTCAGTGGGCCATAGCAAGTGTACAACCCACAAAAATCCAGCCTAGTATGCTAAGCAGTAGCCCCAGGATCTGACCCGGTCTCCTCCACATCCCTTTCATTTGGTAAATATATGCAATACACCAGCAATGATAAGATATTAAAAGACACAAGTCTTTTGCTTTAGCTCAAGTCTTCTTCGAGTCTTTTTGTTTACAGTCAGCTAGACCTGATTAGACTGGTGGGGTTTGATTTGCTGTCTCAAAGGTTGCCTAAAGTCTTCCATCTTTTTTAGAAATTAAAGTGTGGAAACAACAACCTTACAAATCTGAGAGAGAAAAAATCCAATAAAACATTTGTTAGACACTTTAATTAATACAAAACAGAAAACTGAATGCAATTTATACCACATATTAAAATCTTGAAGCATCTGACTGCCTGGTCATCACATGCTCTGAAGTTTTTTTATACCTAATAATTCATATTTGTTCAAATATAAGAGTTTTTGACATATGGTGCAATCTCACTCCCTAAAGTGCCTGACATGGAGGTTTGTGCCCTGCTTCTATGGCTGTTCCTGCCACTCCTCACTTCTGACAGACTTGATAGGCTAGACCTTGAAGAGAGGCCAGACTGTGACCCAAATCCTGATCTTGATCCTAAATCTGTCTTCAGCTCAAACCTTTCCGACCTTTCTGACTGGGTGGAACGCCCTGAATTGGTCGTGCGTCTGGATCTTGAGGCAATGCTAGATAAATCTGAGCCCTCAGACCTTGATAATAGCTCAGAAATAGAGGACAGTTTGGTCTTGGATGTGATCTCCGACACTGTGGACAGAGATGTGGTGGACTTGTTTTGCAATGGGTCTGGCAATCCCTTGACAATCACCCTAAGGAAGGAGATGCACATTATTGTCAAACATGACAGTTACATGTTCCACTAAGCAAAACGTAGTAAAAAAAAAAAATCACACAGTGCTGTAGTATTAGTTGATAGGTCAGCCAAACTGTTGATGTTTTTATTATTATTTATTATTATTATTTGCCTTCTTTCAAGTCATGCACATTTACTTTCGATTATTCATCCTGGCTCTTCATGGCACTTCTACTACTTTTGGTCATTTAGGCTTCTGCCTCAGAGGTTTTGGCATACCTGCTCATTATTTTCAATGGCATGTCCTTTTTCTGTCTTTATTATTCTTCTGTTTTCAGTGCTCTAAATATTTAGCACAACTCTTCAGGTTTTGGGGGTACCAGCATTGGTAATCGTTAGCGGGAGTAGTCCTTCTGAGTTTCTGATGTTTTCTGTCCTCCACAGGAATGATTCAAGCATGGTTCTTATAAGGTCAAATTGGCAATACGTGGATCCCTGTATTATCTGCCATTTTAGCAGCATCTCCTTGGCCTCTATACAGTAACTCTTTCCATTAACATCTTGGAAAAGTCCTGCATTTAGAATTGGTAATAGCTCTATCTCTACTGTTTCATTTCAAAGATCTTCACTAAATAGGTTGGTAGGTGCTGCTCTATCAGCCTTACAAGCCTTTCTTTCCACCCTCAGTCGCGTAGCGCCAAACACATCAAAGTTGCCTAGGAGGCTTAATGTTGTAAGGTAAGTCCTTATAATTCGAAACAGCTTTCCTTCCACTCATCTCCAAATCGTTTGCACATCTTCTGCCTTACTCACAAAGTCTAAATTCATGTAAAGTCAGCATATAGCTGGTGGTGGTATAAAAGTCTTACTCTTACTCCCACTCCTAACTCTGAGCTTCATTATGTTCTGTGTGCTCTCTACTGGCCTACAGCAGCACAAGCCTTAATGCAGCGTCTTCTCTCCACTGTTCCTTGCAACTCTCAGCCTTTCGTAGCCTTTTTTCTCTCTGTGGGCCATCAGTGGCCCCGAGCCTTATTGTAGGCTCTTCTCTCCTGTGCTGCAACTTTCAGCCTTTGTAGCCTCTCTATTCTATCAACTATCAGAAGCCCTGTGCCAACGCTGCTCTTACCGCTTGCATTTTCAGTCTTTGCAGGTTCTCTGTTCTGTTGGCTATCTGCAGCCCAGCCCAGGGCCTTGATATCCCTCAGTTTTCCCTTCCAATCAAATGGCAAACATGGCCTGCCATTGGAGGGCCACTGCCAGGCCCAGAATTCATGCTGGTATTTTGGGTCGTCTGTTGTTGTTCTTCTTCTCTGTGCTTATGCTTCCTATGCCCTGCCAGGCCATGCATTACTCCTTACATGCATAGTTTTCCTTTCCCATGCCAGAACTCTGCTGCAGTAAGATCTTTTTTTCTTTTGGGATCCTGCTCTATCCCCTTTCACAGCTGGGGTTCTGTTCTTCCAAGACGGGCCATTGGAGACAAACCGCCAAATTGGTCATTTGTCGTGTTCATTCTTTCAAATGATCTCTCCTTATTGAACTACCCTTACCAAATACCAGATTTGACAAAGAGGGGCAGGTCTAGGGATGGGTATCGAAACCCGGGTCTTGTTGAGAACGGTTCCCACTGTTTCAATTCCTTGTAATTGTTTGGCATTTTTGCAAACGATTATTTTTATAATTATATTTATATTTTTATTTATATTATTTATTATCGATTTCAGTCACCCCGCATGACTTGGCAGGAAACACGGCGCCTAAGCGGCTCAAACGCT